TTACTCTATATTCTATGTTCAGTTGTGAATTCTCACAGTTTGTGCTTCATAAAAGAAACGATATTTGCTGCAAGCATATGTATATTCAATTATATAACGTGAATAATAATCTTCATTATATATATGTATGTTGTTCAGCGTTGAAGATCATTTCACTGAATATTTTCATGTTCAAAAGCCACATGATCAATTCAATGTAGAAAAGTGATAATATTATATATAAGTGATACATATCATTTACAAGTAGAATTTATCGTTATTTGTATCATCTTCTAAAAAATTAAATGTTAATCGTGTATTTATAGAATTAAAAAATTAGTAAAAAATTGGTCTGATAGATTCGCATACATAACTTTTATATGTTTACAAAATTCATTTCAAATTTTGTCAATGTAATCATAATAGTGATACTATCATTACAATGGTAATAAAATTTCAAAATGCTTTTTATAATGTATATACATAATATATTCATAAAAATTGTCTATAGTAAATATTTGAATATTTTCATTGTACGTGAATCTAATTTGTTTCGATGATGTTTGCATAAATGATCTACAAACGTGTAACTTGTGCAATCGTTTGATCTATTGAAACGTCGGATCCATTAGCACCGCGAGCATCGAATTCTAACGATAGCAATATGTACCATGGATGAATGTACGAAACACAAATGCTCCGAACGTTTCTGGTTATTTTAATCTCTGACATGTGAAACTATCGATCCCTATCGATAAAATCATTATTAAATGCGTAGTAATTAGTAAAAAATTTTTTCATTGCTTCGTATACTTCTATTTTTGATTTTCTTTTTTTAAATATCTTTTGCAATTGAAGACGCTACTCTTGGATTTTATTTTCTTGGATTCTTGATTTTCAATCAAGATATGCTTAAATTTCTTCTTTGTGAATATCAATTGTCATTTGAACATGTTTATTTGAAGACTACACGTGTATTTTGGTTGATTTTTCAATACCTAAAAATAGATAACTCTACAAACGTTGCACTAAGTTAAAGATACGAAGACCATTTACTCTAAAAGTGACACAATTCCATTTTTTTTTTTTTTTTTTTTTTTTGAGATATTAAAACGCTTGCGTTGCATCGATTATGCAATTTCACGTAACGACGAAATTTTGAAGCAAAAGAATATTTTAAGATATAATTTATATATTGTTTTGTAAATCAAAAGTTCACATTAAGATATATGTGAATTTTTTGTTTTCGCAATTTTTTCTTTCCAAATAAACAATCTATATATTATGATACTCGACATTATAATATATTATAATATATTATAATATATGTAAATTTTTCGTTTTCTTAAGTTTTCTCTTGTAAAATAAATCATTTATATGTGTAAATATATATAATATTACGATAATTGACATTTTTGAAAATTTGGTTCAATTAAAAATTTTTAAATCACTTTATTTCTTTATTCATTATTTTAATAAAAGAATGAAATTAAAAGTGCTATTAAGAAATCATAGTTATTTTCTATAATTCTATAGTATAATAAATATGCCGTACTCTTGAAAAAAAAGTGTTTTTCAAGAGCAGCGAAAAATTGTCTTTGAATAAAATTAGATATTATCTTATTAATTAAAATTAAAGAGTCCAAAGTGATTTACTCTTACCTTATCAATATGCATTTGTTCTCAATGATAATTAAGACAGAGCTCATAAATACAGCACATGAATCCAGGGAGGGCAACGTCATTCCTTTTTACCGACCAAAACAAATAAGATTTTCATAATTGATGAAGGATTATCTCTGCAACATTTTTATAGTGATGAACTCGAAAATCCGATTTCTTTTTAATTGAGTTAGTTTTTTCATAAGAGAGCGATTCATATGTACTAGGATAATTCGTAGAAAAACAATAAGTACCGGAAAAGAATATTTCATTTTTTATTTTTTTAATATGCTCCTTCTAGCTCTAAACACTTGTCATGTTTGACTATTTTTACATCTTTTCAAACTATTTCTGTAAAATTCTGCATCATGTGATACAAATCGCTGCATTGTTTCGCTTTATGAAACGATTTCCAGCGGACTTCCTTCAATATTCCTTCGGAACTTTGAAAACAAAAGAAAAGTCAGGGAGGACGAGATAGAAGCTCTTAAACTTAACTTAAGAAGAACTTAACAACAGCTCGATATTCAAAATTCTTATTTTTCATCTCTCAGAAAACTACCTGTAAAAGAAATTCTTTTTTTTTTTAAGTTACTTAATAAAATAATAAAACAACTTTTCTTGCTCAACTCTAAAGGCCACATAGTTCCCACGAGCCTTGCAACAAACTTATTTATGACAATGTTTATCAAATAGTTGTGGGAACTTTTTACAAATTATTTGATATATCCTCGTATTTAAAGAAAAATAAGTTTTAGAGTTTCTGTATGACGAAGATTAACGCTTCGAGTTAAAATATCGAGTTACACTCATGGGTAGTATTCTTTAAACCAAAGATTAATAAAATAGTACTTCCAATATGCTTTGTATGTGACACGATGTAACATGTTATAATAATTAATGTTTATTGACGACTGATTGTGAGAAAAAAAAATCGTCAAGGAAGTTGAAAAAGAGAAAAGAAGTGAAGGATAGCAAAGGAATATAGGATCTTCTTCGCGTAAGAAAGTAAGATTACCAAATTTACATAAGCTTTATTCCCAGTTTGCATGCTCTCGTCGCACTTGCGGAGTTTTCCCTTTAAAATTGAAAGCACCGGTTCCCGCATGAAGCACTTCGGAGGAACATTTTTCTATCCTTACGATCGATAGAAAACGGGCGTTTGCCTCTAGCAGCGTATTTTCCGGGGCAATCAGCCGAAAAGCGATAGAATCTGAAAACTTTTTGATCCGACAGAAATTGAAGGCACTGAAGAATTGGATTTAAAGTTAGGTTTACTTCGCAGATTCGCGATTTTTATTTCATTTTTTCTTCGATTCTCAAGCGAAAGTATTATTGCAGAAATAAAATTTCTAAATCTCCTCTTCCTTGCATTTATTTCGAAAGCTTTTTAATTTTTTAGATACATCTTGCAGGAAAAATAGAAAAAACACTCTTTCAATATATTATAAAAGAAGAAACGCCTTTTCAGTATATTATAGTATGTTATCTTTCCCAGGTAATAAATGAATCAATTATTTTATTATTGATTATCTATATCTATACAATACTCTGTTAACACTTGGAGGATTCATATCAATTACAGTAACAAAAATTAGGAGAAGACTTATTGAATTAAAAATATTATTAGAAAAAAATGTAAGAATTTAATTTTTTATACGAATTAAATTCTATCTACATAATGTTCAATATATAAATTATTTTTTAAGAATCTCATAATTTCTTTTACAAATCTAAATCTTTTATAAATTTAGAACAGTATAATAAAATCTAATGAATAGTAGAATAAAATCAGTTAATGTTTGACAGAAGTTGGTTTAAAATTACCTGTTATTTCCTGGAATTTTATATTTGTCAACTAAATAATAATTGATTTTCCTATAAATCAAGTTTCAATGTTACAGTAAATTCTGACGAATTAACTCTTGCGTAATTTTTTCAAATTATACATTTGAAATTAATATCTAATTTAGGATTAATACCTAGAATGCCGCGTTATACATTTGCAATAGTGTGCGCTTCAGGATCAAACACAGTCAACATCCTATTTCGATTATAAATCTATCAAGTTCAGTTGGCAATGGCGCCTTGCGGTTCCCTAAATCATGTCAAACACAGCACGTGTCCGATTGATAGAGCCTCTCTAGAATTTCAACCATTTGGTCAGACCGTTTGGTTTCTTCGTTTGAAAAATCTTGCGTTTAGAGAAAACAAGGAATTTTGCACATTTCCCTCGCTTATAATGTGGCCAGGTTTTTATTGGTTGTCATGGGGATACGCGTCGATGGGCCGTCACCGTGTAAGGGCGTTTATTATCGACCAGGAAAACGTTGTTTGCGGTGTCAGTATGGTGCTTCAGCAATTCGAAGTAGGCCAGCTTAAAGGAGATGCTATGGAGAGATGCTTAAGCCATCGAGATTACACGTGCCAATTTGGTTATTAATAATCTAGCTTGGAGAGATGAGATTGTTGGTATCTTGGAGCTCGTCTATTTACAAATTTAATTTTAACTTTAATTTATTAACCGATACGGAGCATTTTTATGAATGAATTACGAATCAATTACGCAGCGCACAAACAGACATAGAGTGTAAAGCGATACAATACTGTTATTGTATTGCATGTATGCATTGTATTATATAATACGATAATTAAATAATAAAATAATATGATAATTTATATTTATAATGAATAAATATAATAAATTGTAACAAATAATTAAATAATGTGATAAGTTTTACAGTTACACAGCGAACTATGTGAAATAGATGATAATTTTTAACTCTTTGTATTAGGAAATTCCTAGTTACATTATGTATATATAATATATTTTTATTTGTTTCTTGTACACTCGTACAGTAATGTACAATAATGTATATTTACAACATATATTTACACCAGCGACTCAGACAGTTGATTGAGTGTATTACAAGTATTGAATTCACATCAGTATATATTGGCTTTAATTAAAATTTTAATAGATTTTTAATAGATTTAATATCAAAATCATCTGTAATATCAAAACATAATTCTTACAATGGAATTCACAATAATTAGATATAGACATATCTGCAATAATTAAATAATTAGGATCTGATTGATAAATTACTCATTAAAAGTCAACATTTTAACATTTTAATGAATCATTTATTAAATTAAATCAATTAGTACAAATATTACGATTTACAAAAGGAAATTTGAACGTCGATATTATTCCCTCTGATGAGATTTAAATACATAGATTGAAGTATTTGCAACATTATGATACAGATATGTTTAAAAAGACAGAGTTATACAAAATTAAAAATCGTTTTAGTTTGAATTGGTTATTTATTTCCGTTGTATTTTGCTTGTTTCAGAATTGCCAGCCGAGGAGGGTAAGTCTTTCTCAACGAAAGGTTTCTTCCCAGTATGACGATCGACACGGTAAGCTGTTCCGGTAACAAATTGGCATTGATTTTGTCTAGAGTGTCGTTTACTTTAAAATGATAGAAAAGATATCGAAGTAAAATACGATAAAACGATAGGAAAGATTTCGAGTAAATATCCTTGTTCAAGAAAGCAAAAGATATTCTGCCCAAGGTACACGTATCGTTTTTCCATTGTTTTTATCGCCGCATCAAATTATTATGCTTTTATATTGACTACGTAGTACAAAAACACACAAATACAGTACAAATATCATACATATATAACAATCGATCAGCGAAGCATTTTTTCAATCGCTGAAACGATATATCGAAGCTAAAATTCCGTAGGATGAAGAAAAATAATCATCTGTGATCAAGATTGCAATTATAGCAGTATTTCGCATAGTACCGATTTCAAACGCATAATTATCTATATACAATTTAGATACCACATCTTATATTTTCCAAGAAAAATTCTCACGGTCATACGGAAGTAGCTACAAAAAATATTCGCGCAACATTGTATTTATTATAGAATTTAATTCTAGAGTCGTAAAATTTTCTTCAGAGATCGTGATGTACATATTTCAGAAATACAATAACTTCAAATCTATGTTGCAGTGTTAATTTTTGCAGAGATTATAAAATTATATGAAAGCTCTTTAATTGTACTAAAATTAGTACAAAATAAATTGTGTACAGATATAGTTACGGTATATATAAATTAAATAATTATTATATATCAACCGCGATTTCCAAAAGATTAAAATTAATATTTATTTAAATTAATTAAAGTTAACTAGAACAAATTAATTAGATCCAAATTTTGTATCATTTAGTAATACTTTCATGACTATTTTAGTGTATGAAATAATAGTTTTGATATGAAATAATATCGTGGTTTTTTTTTATCTTTATATCTGGCATATTAGGATATCTATCTTATATATCTTCTAAGCTGTAGGTACTTTTTGGATTCTAAATAAAAAATCCAAGTCTTCAACTTTAAAATATTAATATTCCAGATATTTTATGAAATAAAAATTCAATACTATTTTATATATTTACCATCACTACTATTGTTATTAGTTATATTATTATGTATTACATAATATAATTTAGATTATATACATTTATTATATTATAAATTATATTATAATATATGTTATATATAATTCATTTGGGTTTAATTCTAATGAATTAAATTTAATTCTAATAACGCAATTAATGACAAACCTGCGAATGGTTTTTTTCTCCTACGTGCGTATTTTGATTAGTGATAAATATAGTCCGCGATAAAGCTGCGATTCGCTCTTCAAAATCTGGAATCTCTTCACGAAAAGAAAAAATCCCTAACGAGAAAATCTCCTCGTCAAGAAGTAAAATTACATGTCAGCGTAAAAATTTTTTGTAGCCACTGTGTGCTATCATTTGTTCATTGGACGTCATACAAAACGAAGCTTATCTCGAGACACTCGATGATTCATTTCTCGACGTCATCGCTGACGTTCTTTCGACAGAGAAAACATCCATCCCTCCAATAGTTACCCAAATCGAGCGTCAAATAGATGGTACGATGACATAGAAACATGGTCGCCGGCCGTAATGCCAGATCTCTGGCAGTCATAGGTTCTCCCAGAGGTTTCGGATCATGCAAAATCAAGGCAGGCTTCCCTCTCCTCGTTGTTTACGTACACGTGATCACCGTAGCACACTTTCCATCTCTTAAAAATGATACACACTTTTACGTGGTCGCATCTTAAGAGGCAACCGACCGACACTTTTCTCAGCCTCAAAATTCCTAATTATTTTCGAAATAAAGGGGTGGACTTCAGACAGACTTTAGAGGTGGAATTAACTACGTAGTTCATCCGATTAGTGTCGTTTCATAAGTCGACTCGAGAACTTTTCGAACAACTTCGACGCTGCAAACGAGATATCGGTTTCGCTTTGAACATATTTATTTCTTTTTGTCATCCTTTCTTCTTGCAAGAGAAGGAGAAGCTAAACCGTTTAGTTTGGAAAGGACATCGAGTACGTCGGAGAACTGACGTTCTTTTTGGTTGGACAAGAATGTCTCTCTGTGATCGTAGAAGTTTTCTGTTTGAAGAATCCATTGAGTTCTTTGTTTTCTGGGTCGACTGGTGATGATTTTCCTTTATCTAATTAAAATTAATACTCGGGGTAGAATGGAACGTGTTCTGTTCTTATAAGAGTTCTCCAATTTTCTTTGCTATCTACTATTTTTGGTTTACGTAACACGAGTTCTCGTTTGAAGAAATAAGTGTTAGATTTGCATTTAAAATAGGTGAATTCTAAATTTTTGTTTTAATAACTGTATGAACTCGGTTTTATATAAATAGAATAAATGCATATGTATAAGTAAATAATATAATATAATAAATAATATAATAATGATACAATACAAATAGAATAAATACATATATAAGTAAATAATATAATAATAATAATAATAAAATATAAATAGGATAAATACATATATAAGTAAAATTCTACTTCATATATAAAAATATTAATACTCCCTTATAATTGATCACATTCAAGTTGATTCTAAATTTTCGATCAAGTGGATTCTAATTTTTTGCTTTAATAACTGCGAGTTCAGATAAATGAATCTCTGTATTTTATATTCATTTTGTATAATGTAATTGGTTACGCGTCCCATCGAATAAGTAGATTTTCGTTCAAGCAAATGGATTTTAAAATTTCGCTGCCTTCGTTGAGGTGAGTGAGTTTTTACTCAATTTTTGTGATGCAATTGATCGTCAAAAAATATTCCAAACCGTCAGATCTGATTCAACAATTCTAACATCGAAACGTTTCGACCGAGACTCAGCAATCAATCGAACGACCTAATTTCCGCGTTATTACATTCGCGACTCGTTATCGCGGCGCTTAAACTAATCGAGAAGTTCGCAGCTGTAAACGACATCAAAGACGTTGGTCGAGGTGTTCAAAGATGTGGAACGTGTTCGAAAATGCGGAACCTGGCAATATGAAGCACTTAGGCCAGCACGTTAAGTTCAGAAGAGAAGGCAGATGCTGTGAATGATAGAAGACGTCATCATCAAAGCAGACCAGGCCTGTGCCTCTATGTCTGCTATTGCGTTAACGTATGTATACACAGCAGTGAAAAAGAAGAAGTAGAAGGGAATAAGCGCGTCGTCTTCGGTCTATCGCCGTTTAATTCGTTATAATTACGTATATCTACATTACGCTGACATACATTTACGCATTAAACTTCGTTAAGCTGAGATCAGTTATTAAACCTTTGATCTGTCGAATCAACGCGTTTTCTTTCTTTGTTGTTCGTTTAACATAGGATTACATTTATTTGGCGGAGAATCGTGCAACAGAAAAATTGAGAAATAATACATTCTTCATTTGTATAGTTTTAGATAATTTTTATATAACTTTGTAATTTTTATTTAATTTTATTTATTTTGGTTTTATTTATTTTGGAAATGGCTGTAGAATCTAGGATAAAAATTGAATGCAGGATTTTTTGACATATGAGGATTTTTCGAAGTATTTATTTGGCTCCATATTTATTTGTTGGGAGTTGAGGAATCGTAAAATACGAAATTGAGAAATAATACATTAGAGCAATAGTTATATTTGGTAATGGCTATAGAACTTGGGATGAAAATTGAATGCAGGATTTTTTTGGTATTTTCGAAATATTTATTTGGGTCATATTTACTTGGTAGAACAAGAATCGTGAAACAGGAATAATACATTTTTTTATATAATTTTGGAGCAGTTTGAGAATAGTTGTAGAACCTAGATAAAGATTGAATGTGAGATTTTTTTAGTATTTTTGTAATATTTATTTAGGTTATAAGACAAGTATTGTTTTAAATGGAACAATTTGAGCGAGAGATTTTTTTAATAATTTTGAAACATAGATTGAATTTGTTCAAATTTAGAATGAAGATTGAATTTCGGATTTTTTAGTATTTTTGAAACATTTATTCGAGTTACGGAATAGATATGAAATTGTTTCAATGGAACGATTGAGGAGCTATTAATTAGGAGATATTAATTTTTTTTAATAATTTGGAGCATCGATTGGCTTTATTTTGATATATTTGTTTGGGTTTTGGAATAGATGTGAAGTTGTTTTAAATAAAATAATTGTTAAAATAGTGGTTGAGAAGTAACAAATTTTTGGACAGTTTTCAAGCATCTATTGAATTTGTTTAAATTTGGATCGAAAATTGAATATGGAAATTTTTAGTATTCTTGAAATATTTATTTGTAGATTGCAGATTTTTATGTATTTGTGCGTGAAATTTCAATTTGCATAAAATTGCATAAAATTCACATAATCTCAAAATTATCTCTGTATAATGTTCAGTGTGTGTGAAACAATATTTTATCGAACTGCTTTTTTTTCTTTCTTTAGTTATCTATATTTTCGAAGATATGAATTTACATAAAAATTCTTAGTCTATTGATTGTTTTTTTTTTTTTTTTTTTTTTTTTTTTTTATAAAAAATAAATTTTTTTT